ATACATTAAGTATCAGTTACACCTTTTTACAAAGGTGTGTTTGAACTAAGAATCTGATGTTTCCCTCAGGTGTAGATCTGCTGAATATGCAAATGGTTCCATAAATTTAATTCCTTATATCTCTTTTCTGTACTGAGTTAAGCTTTAACCCTTTCCTATACCAACTGTATGCGTGTGTGTGTGTGTGTATGTGTATGTTAGACCAGTTTATGTGTTTATGTAGGATGTTAGACCAGTTTATGTGTTTATGTAGTATGTTAGACTAGTTTAAGTGTTTATGTAGTTAATAAAGCCTTACTTGTATCACACCTGACGTGGTTCATTGTTTGCTTATAACTGGAGTCACTTAATCATGCAGATTTATGCTACAAGCTTTTGTAGAATTGTACAGTAAGAAAGTTATTTCCCTTAACCAGGAAATTAAGCTCTTAGAATTGACAAGACAGTTGACCCTGAGAGGTCAGCTAAATATCTACAGCGGATCTAAAATATTCATAATTAATTATAACTAGTTATGGTTAATTATTCATATTTCCCATGAGCTGATTCGTTACACCTTTGATCATGTTAAATCTCTCAAGTTCCATCAAAGGTGATGGTCCTTTTACACCCATTACTGGTTGAGCAGGTGTTGCCAGCATGGCATGCTGGAAACGATCTGTCTCTGTCCTTAAAGGTGGTTCTGGTGTTTCCCAAATATATGGGCCACCACCGTAGTGGAGGCAAAAGTCACACCCATATTTTCCATTGAACTGCTTTGTGTTTCTCAGGAGGGGCCGGGCAATTGAATCAGAAGAGCAGAGGAGTGAATAAACCTTGCTTGTATGCTCTACGTTTTCAGAGTCCCTCCATTTGATTCCAGTCTGTTCTAGTTCCTTGAGCTGTGACACAAAAGCAGTTAACAATGTTATCATATTTGGCTTGCTGTTACCAACCCATAAGCATGGTACGCATATGTTCCTTTCACAATCATTTGGTGACAGCTCAATGATTTGACACTGGATTGGCCATATCTGAACATTATTACTTTTAAAAACAGGAATTCCATCACAATTCCACAAGATTGATATGTCATCAGGCCCCATTTGTCCACTCTGCTTGATCTTTTGATATTCAGCCCCACACTGAATATCAGAAACAATGCCTGGGATTGATTCCCTTTTATTCAAACAAATCTCTGGTTTTTCCAAAATTATTTGGGCTGATAGACTAAGTACAAGAAAGTAAGATCCAGCCCTTAGGTTTTTCTCTGCGTCAAATTCAGCTTTACAAGAAGTACAGTTTTGTGGTGCTGTCTCAGTAGCTCCCAAGTAGCTTTCACAGTTGATACAATAAAAACGTGGCACATACTGGCCAAATTGTCCATATGCTTTATGGAAAAGATATGAAGTTGCTGGTACCAAGCCAGGGAAATGTTCATTGAACATAGTAAGAAGATCCTGAAGAACTACTTCTGTCAAATTTTGGCGCAGTACATACGACATGAGTAAAAGCAGACTCTGTCCCTTTGTGAGAGGAGCACCAGGGTATACAGG